CTTGCATTGCGAGAGGCTCTCTCGTTGGCAGAGGATCATGACAAGCCAATACTTTCAAATTGCTAATGAGATCATGGCTATAGGATCAGATTTTGATGGTATTGCTTTCCGCCTCATCTTCGATGGCCTTTGGGCCATGGAGGTGTAGATGACCTCGACCCCTGCCGACGGGAGGGACCCCGTTCTTGTTCTTGTTTGGTTCAGCATCTTGGTTGGGGTTGTGTGACGGCGACGACGTCCCTCAGCAGGAATAATGTCTCCCACGTTCTATCCCCGTCCTGATGGTGCGTCTAACTTCATTCGAGGGCGTGTGGAGGTGTGTCTCCGTCGGATCTCGTGGGATTCGGTCGGTGTTGGTCTTCAGTGAATCTGATTGGATCTGGTCTTCGTTCATCTTCGTTTGTGTGTCTATAGGTTTGATCCTTCCTACGACTTTCTGCGTCGACGATGGTTGCTTCTCTGATGCGCTGGTTCTATGGGGCCTTAGCACGCGACTTTCCGACTGTCTACTACAACTAGATTTGCCCGACTTCGGGGAGGGAGAGGCGATGACGGTGGCGCGCCTTCGGCTCGCTCGAGTGCTTGTAGTCGTTGCTTGGTGGTCCACGGATATGGTATTTTTATTAGTTCAGGTGTCCTTTGTACTGTCAATTGTCATAATTAAGAATGCATGGATCAAAAGATTCTCGAAAAAATATTTTCGAACAAAGAAGCTCACATACTTGCCCGTTCATCACTTCAAAATAATTTTGGCTTGTTTGTTTGGTTGATTGATCTGTCTGAGGCATGATGTCTCGTAGTTGGCGGAAACGTCTCCTTCACTGAACGCGTATTGACTGAAATAAATCCAAAATAATATGAGCAACAAAATTTGAGCTCTGGTGAGCTAAGGATAATAATGTCCTCTTAGCCATCCAATACAGGTTGGTTGGCCCTAAAAACTCTTGTTATGTGATCAACAAATGGGTACATAATTTTCTGAAGGAAGAAAGAAACATGTTTCAACAGTATCAGCCGTCCTGCTCCCGCCACACACACCCATATCACACATGCCGCTCCTCCACCTCTCGCTTCCGCCGCACCGTCTCCTCGTCGGCCGGCGGCGGCTATTCGCCCCGCCGACGCCTCCTCCCTCTCGTATCTCGATAAGGTTTCCCTCGCAAGCTCCCAGGCCTTACATCCATCCTCCGATGTGATTTCTGTAGCAGCAGCCGCCTCTTCGGCTGATCTGTTTTGTTATTGGACAGGGCGGCAGCGTTGATATCGTCGGCCGCGGAGGATGGATGCGATCTCCCCTTCCCTCCAGAGCGCGCTCCCCACCACCGCGAGCTCGCCGCGGCCGCCGCCTCTGTCGAGCGCGCCTGCCGCCTCTGCGTAGACGTGAGTTGACCTCATCCCCTCCTCTTGGTTTCAGATTGGGCGCCAGGGTAGTTGCCATTCGGTGGCATTGCAGTGATTTAACACTGTAAAGTACTCGTAGCTCTCTTGATGTAAAGTTCGATGGCAACAAAGTTGAGAAAAAATTAGAAAGTATCAACTATTTTGCATATTATTCTCTGAAGTCAATTCCTGCGGTGTTGAAATTTATTTTGCAAAAAAGAGTGAAAAGCTCCGTGGAACACCGAAAAGTCAGTTCCTTGCAAATGTATGATAAAGCACTAGACATATTGTGTGAAGAGGTTTATTTCTGGGGTAAAGTTTTGCAAGACAGAACATTTTAAGGATCCAATGCGTAATGCAGTATGCTAGACACAGATAAAATCAAGTCATTTCATGTACTAGGTAGCTTTAGTAAAATCACCAAAATGATTTATACCTATTCTAAAACACGGTAGTTTATTGTGGTCACCATGTGAGTCAGGGTGGACGCGGTCCGGTCCGGTCCGGGCTTTGACCGAGCCAGCCTTTGGACCGGCCGCGGCCGGTCCGGTCCGGACCGGACCGATGTGGCCAGCGAGCCTGTTTTATAGGACCGGACCGAAGCAGCAAAAGCTCGGTCAGCCCGAATGGACCGTATGGGACCGATGGCTGGGAGTGCTCTGCTGGCCACTGTTTAGGCTGCTGTGTGGTTTGTAGACTGTAGCTGCCCTGTAGTGTCATTGTTTAGACTGTAGCTGCCCTGTAGCTGCTCTATTCAGCTTTTTGGCCACTATTTAGACCGTGGGTTATCCTGGGAGTGCCATGTTGATCTTTTTTGCCACAGTTTAGGCTGTCCAAATTAGTTATGTCATACAGTCATAGTAAGCTGCTCCTGTGAGTGCTCTGTTTCTGTTCAATGACTAGTGTGGCATAACTAAATTTGGACAGCATTTTATTTGAATTTTGGACATCAAAACAATTGATTTTGAGAGGAACAATATCACAAAAATCACATGCACAAACATTGATCACTACAGTTTTCAGATAAGTTTGGACTGAAAAAGCAGAAATATCACAGCCACAAACAACTAATTTGGACAGCAAGCACTGGACTAAATTTGGACAGCAAGAATAACTAAATTTGGACAGCATTTCCTTTGTTTTTTGGACATCCACAAACTGATATTGACAGGAAAGATGGCACAAATCAGGTTAAGCACAAATATCACATCCACAAACAGAAGGTCTTATCATCATTGAACATGTAGGACAAGTGAAACATGTAGGAAGAATAGTTACCCTAGTTAGGCAGCGCCGAATCTTGCCTAATTAGGTAATTCACGCTTTTCTCCTTTGCCTTCGCCTTCGCATTCTCCTTACCAGCACCCTTTCCCTTCTCATTCCCCTTCTCCTTCACCATTATCTACAAAAAACAGCACATAATATCTGCAGTCAGTACATTAATCAAGCGCAAAAAATTCATCTTCTTCTTTTTGTAGCATAGAAAATCATCTAGTACTAGTGCAAATAAACATAATTATCTCCTGACCATTATCTATAAAAAACAGCACATAATCCCCCTCTCATTCCCCTTCTCCTTCACCATTATCTCCTGACCAAATCATCTACTACTAGTGCAAATAAACATAATTTATCTCCTGCCATTATCTACAAAAAAACAGTACAAAATCCCCCTCTCATTCCCCTTCTCCTTCACCATTATCTCCTGACCAAATCATCTACTACTAGTGCAAATAAACACAACTATCTCCTGACCATTATGTACAAATAAAACAGCACATAATCCCCCTTCTCCTTCACCATTATCTCCTCACCAAATCAAAGACTTGCCAGCAAGATTGTTCAGCTCACTAAACTACAACATGTACTCTGTGACGTAGATTAGAGGAAGATACCAATCGGGATTGGGGCTTGGGAGTATGAAAAACTTAAGAACAGAGATCTCAGGAGGCTACCTTTTCCTCTTCGTGGCGCTCCGTGAGGAACCAGGGAAGGACGGACCGACGGCGTGCTGGCCTTGCTGCCTCCCCGACGTACACGTGCTCCTCCAGCTCGGACTCGGACCAGATGGCGCCGTCGGTGAAGGGAGAGCCGCGGGCAACGGCGCCGTCGCCTGGGTTAGGGTTAGGGATAGAGGAACAGAGGAGGAGGCGCTGGAGGGGGCAGAACGCAGAAGGAATCGAGCCAGGGCGGAATGGAACGAGGGGAGGGGGTCGCTCGGCTCGGGGTGGGCCTCTCGATGGCTAGATCTGTAGTTCTGTACACTTGATGGGCCTTGCCGCCTGCGGTCCGCTCGGTCGGCCCGGATAAAGACCGGACCGGACCGAAAAAAATTCGGTCTCCTTTTCTGGGCTCGGACCGGCTAGTTTTCCTGTCGGGCCTGGACCGTACGGGCCGGTCCTAGCGGGCCGGAAAGCCCGCTCGTGCCGTCCAGGCTGACATGTGAGTGTGATCATAAAAAGTACACGATCTCATTTAGACAATTTTAACCATACAAAGTAGAACAACAATAATATACTTCATTTTTTTCGAGGAACCGGCAGGAGCACTGCCTTTTCATTTAGACGAAGAAGAAGGTTTCTGTACAGATGAGTCATGTTTTTAAAGGGAACTTGGCGGAAACCATAAGACAGGAACAGACTGACTATTACTCCCTCTGTAAAGAAATATAAGAGCGTTTAGATCACTAAAGTAGTATGGATGGCAGGAGAACTTTATAGCCAATACCTTCAGTGGCATCTGCGCGCCCAAAAGCCATGTCGCGTTGGAGAGCCAGAGCGGCAACCTCAAAATGGGTGAGGCGGGTTCCGCTGAAGATGCGACGGTTGTGTTTCTTCCATATGTTCCATTACGTGTATAAGAGAATACCACTCTGGCGTCGCTTCACCTCCTTCAGACCATTGGAGATCATCTCGTCCCACCAATGCGAGACTGCCATGTTGGGTCCGCCGCCATATCCATATTCTCTCCCGTCCAATCTTTAACGTGGCTCCAGACCGCTGTCAAGAAGGGGCAGTTCTTGCAGAGGTGCATGGCCATTTCCGGCTCCCCCAGACATAGTTGGCATTGCGGATCATACGGCCATCAAATGCTTCATATTATGCACCGTGTATTTCTGAAGTATAGACATCACTCAGTTTAGTATGTCTAAGTTCTTTCCAAAATACAACATATATGCCTGAAAATAAGGATAAACTATGGCCTATGGGATAGTTAGGAAACGGAAGGTACATGCATTCACTGAAACCAAAACTATTTCTTGTGTATCAGGTCTTCGTTTAGGTTCAAATAGGCAAAGACCAATTTTGGTTTAGTCAGTTTTGTTGCGGTTATTGAGAAGAGCATACGTAAAAAACAGAAGCCCCAAAGGTTTCAGCAGCAATAGACTGCACTAAACCCAAAGCATTGACTTTGTGAGTTCTCAGTGCATCATTTAATGGTGATGTAATAAATTCAAATGCCTAGCATGTCATCGATTATCTAGCTGATGACCTGAGCTACATTTTGCTGGTTAATCTGTTATGCCTTGACAGGTGAAGAGATCACTTCTTTCAGGTGGAAGGAAGATTCTTGAAAAGAATGACCAAAGTCCTGTGACAACTGCAGATTTTGGAGTTCAGGCCCTTATCAGCTTCGGTAATTCACAGCATAATTCCTTAGTTCAGCTTACCATATGCACTTTGTGCCTTTATCTGATGCCATATTTACCCTGGTGCTACTGGAAGAGCTCCAGCAACTGTTTCCATCAATACCTCTGGTGGCAGAAGAGGACTCAACATTTCTGAAGTCATCTAATCCTGATGATAACAGTGGTAATGTACTCATTGAGTCAATTTCAAGTGCTGTCGCAGGCAAAGTGAAAAATAGTTGTTCACCTTTAACTCATGATGATGTGTTGAGAGCTATTGATAGAGGAGGCAAGGATGCTGTCTCCTTTGATTCAAATCCTGCTACTTACTGGGTAAACTGCCAAGTTTTCATTAATCGCATATCAGGATCTGTAAAAGTTCGTTCCACTGAGTTATCATGGTGCTGCGGTTTTGAAGGTACTTGATCCAATTGATGGCACTAAAGGTTTCTTGAAAGGAGATGATGCTCTGTATGTGGTACAGCTCTCTGTTTATTTGTTTCTTTTTGCTTGAATGAACGGCAGGAGCTCTTCCTAATTATTTTATGGGAGGGAAAGATTATGTACAGGGGGCTAAAAGACAAACAGCTAGGTGCCAAAACAATTTAATCTGTACAAGCGCTTGCAGAAACACCATTAGGCTGGCTGAGCTAAGTAGGTAGCTAGCAGTCTATCATTGCTCCATCCCATTGTTCATTGTCTTCACGAACTTCGCATGCATTCTATCTTGGGCTTAAGGGTTGATTCTGCAAGATTCTATTACTCCTCTACTTGCATAAATTCTAACGGCTATGAATAACTAACCCAATGGGGTCATTCGACGCCTTTCTTTTGAAAATTGTACCTTTCTCTTGTCACAAAGCTGACAGGGAAGCCATAAGAGTCCACAATATTCATGATGTCACAGCCTAGCCAGCTGAGTACTGTATTCCGCAAAAAAATAGCAAAAAGGAGCATAACAGGCATAGTTGGAACACCGTTTTCTGTGATGTGTCAGTGCGGGGCAAGATTGTTCCTGAAGGCCATCCTCTCTTGGTGGGGTGGCTCTGTGTTCATTATAAGGCTTATCACTGGGTATTGCTGACCGCATCCTGAAACTTGGAGTACAACCGTTATTACAGAAGTGCAACAGCATAGACCTTTGTTATGAACATTTTCTGGACATTATGTGCGTTGGATACTATTTTCTCAAACGCACATTAAAATGTGTATTGTACTAGAAAATGTCGTGATGATGCATATTGGACTATTTATATGTGTAGCTTGTCTCAAGGCCTCCATCATGTGTTCCCTGTAGCATAAGCGATCCAGATGCATGTATCAAAAGCCACAATCAACATTATGAGATTCATAGCACGTTCAGGTTTGTAGCTTGATGATTTTCCACATGGTTCCTCGCTGAAACAAACCACATTTAACATTATAACATCGTCATTTTATTTACTGGCGTAAAGTTTTCTTGCAGTTTTTTTAATGAAGCACTGTCCTTTTGGATTTGCAAACTTTGATAATACCAAGTTTGAGAAATTAGGATGTCTGAATACTTAGTTTGGCAAATTAGGGTTTGTAAATACCATTTCTGTTCGCGCGTCTGTGGTAGCTGCTCAGTCTGAATTTTGCAGGTCCATGCTTTCTAAAATTCTAAGTGCTATCTGAGCAATAGATCATGCTCACTACATTTTCGTATTCTTTTTATTCTGATATGAAGCTATTCTTGTTTTGTCTTAAGGTCGGTTTGGCTCTTGTGGTGAACGGAAAGATAGCAGTAGGAGTGATGGGATGTCCAAACTGGACCAATGGTACCACGGCAAACAAGAAAGAAGAAAATCTTGATCCCTGTCCTAGCAATGGCATCCTTATGGTGTCTCATGTAGGCTGTGGTACTTGGTCTAGGCACTTGTCTCCTGAGATTGGCCAGTTCACCACAGCACAGGATGTTTGGAAGAGATGTTTTGTTGATGCATGTTCAGTTGTGCACATGGCACGCTTCTGCATTCCGGATAGCCAAACTTGGAACATGATACCATTATCCCTCCTCTTTGACTCAACGACGGACGAATCTGATACTCGAGATGAGAATAAAATTCTTCTCCGATATGCTTGCTGTGGCAGGTTTGTTGAATTTTCTATTTATTACCACCACTATACTAGAAAAGTATGTTAGGTTGATAGTGACTATCTTAGACTGATCATCGATGAGTGATAATGCTCTTGCTGATGTTTTGTAGCTTGTGCAAATATATAATGGTAGCATCTGGGAGAGCCTCAGTTTTTTTCAGTCGAGCACGGGTGAACACTCAAATCAAGGTGTCCTCTTGCTTGAAATTTCAGTGGTTCTGCATGGCAAGTTAAACAACTTGCGGAGTATGTTTATACATACGCTGATCTTGTCTACTCCCACTGTTTGCATAGGCTTGGGATCATGCTGTTGGGATGATTTGTGTGCAGGAAGCTGGAGGTCAGGTATATACACACCTCTTTCTGTTAAGCCAGAACTCAGTCAAATTTACATTTGTTCTATCGATTCACCGGCATTAGTATTATAACCTTTGTATTTTTTTGTAATTTGTTGAAACTGGCAGATCAGTGACTGGAGTGGGAAACCGTTGGATCTTGCAGCTGACCTAACAGGGCGCAGAATTCTTTACCCTTCAGGCGGTGTTCTTGTGACAAACGGTGCTCTGCACGACAAGCTCGTCGAACTGATCTCAGCAGACTACAAATAGATGCAATGTTTCACAGCTTCAAACAGGAGCACGATTTTGTTTTGTCTATAACATTTTACCGTGTGGACCAAGACCAACAATCTGTATCGGGTCTCGCACTCAGAGAGACGCATCCTTGTTGAGAATATTTACATGAAAATCAAATAGCACAGTTCCCTTTGACTAATGAGCACCTGAATGAGCTTCTCAAGCAACTTCACCCAGAAGCTATACACGTGAAATGCGATGCCATGCTCGAAGTTGCTTTCACAATTCTACAATCCTTGGGCCTTGAGAGTCTCTGAACCTGTTGGATAACCCTGAGAAGGTTGCGTTGCATGGTCGTACGACGTCCACGCAGGCGCGCACCCCTGAGCGGAAGGCCTCTCTCAAGCAAAGCTTGCAGCGGGGAGAAGCGAAATCTCGGAGCAATCTGACATCGCTGCACCTTGCAACATGTTTGGCCACCAATTCTCTTCAAGCCCAAGAAAAAGACACCCCCCCAAAGCTTACTTGCAGGATAACGACCTGCAGCGATCGTTCGTAATGCAAAAATTGGCAACCTTCCCAGCATAAGCATGATTAGCCCAGCAAATCCACATCACGTACACCCGGACGACGTTTACTGCTGCAGCCACTACGACGGTCTGGGCACTGACCCGTTGGCTTCTCCCGTGACACGTACCTCCGCCCGCCGCGGGTTCAGTAAACCGAGATGACCCGATGCTTATATCTTCTTGCTGTAGCCTATGCTGACTTTGATTGATGGGCGTAATAAGAAAGGCTACTGATCGGATGTTTTTGTGTGCAGAAAGTCGCGATTATCCTACGCGTCTTCAGAATGGCTCTGCTGTGTCTGTGTAAGCAAGCTAGGTTAGCTATCAGGGTGAAATTAAGTTGTCGAAGGCATCAAGAGGGGAGGGTTAACTTGATCTGAAATGCTGCCTGTCGCTTGTAGCAGGAACCGCCCATGCTAGCTTGCCAAGAGTCAGCCATTCCGGCAAACCCCGCCTGATTGACCACGGGAAATGACAAGTGTACAAGTGGTTGGACTTCAGATGTCGTGAAAGTGTATGGAACGAGCCAATGCCGTTCTTGCCCAAGAGATCAAGTGCCAAATGCTCTCAAGTGTATGTGCTGGTGAACTACTATTTGCGCTGGCGTCCGAGATCGAGCATTGTCGGCGCAAGTTTCGCGTATTGAGATACGCAACTTTTTTCGACAAAGATTGAGATACGCAACAGAAATTGCATCTCGCACTTAACACCAGAAAAAACATCAAGGAAACTGTTGTTATAATGCTTAATGAAGAACAAGCGGTGCGTATTGGACACTAAGCATGAGCTCTTTCTTCTCCAAAAAACAGTGCTTGCATGAGCATGAGCTAGCGTCGGAACGGCCAACCAATGTAATCCTACTACTACATATGAACAGCTGCGTATGAACAGCCGAAAACAGGTACCAAATGTTCTGAATAATTCCGATTTATATACTCCTCAGCACGTCCTTTCAGTCAGACATCTGAACATTAATTTCTCTCCTTCTCTTTCTAGCCACAAACTGCACTCCATCATGAATTGTCCTCTGATGCTCTGACCCATATGCTGAATCGACCAAGGTCCAAGGCATATACGGAACCAAGTGCGCTAGCTGTTTTTATGCCACCAACTTGCCGCATCCAGATGACAATAATGTCGCATAAGAAAGATACACCCCTAGAAAATTAAATGTCCTGCTTGCCGTTTCCAGGCCATATGCATCCAGGGAGCAAGTACGATATGCATGGGCCATGACATGAAATAACAATGTTTCCCGCCCATCTACTCTTGCTAACTACAGGCGGAGGCGATCCAGGTCACAACCAAACGCAACCACAGCCACGGGCGCCTCATCCTGGGCAGTGACAAATATTTATATGGAGCAGCTGGGAGTGATGCAACAGAGGCGCCAGTTTGTATGTTGAGTTGACAGTTTGTTGACACCTCATCCATGGATCCACGTATGTACGTACCTCGACCCCCATGCAAATACTATAGTTTTATACGGAGCGCACGCATGAACAGTGATCACAGACTCGCAGATGCCCAAGAGAAGAAAAAAAAAATAGTATAGGAGATCGTCACAGCTATTACAATTAACTAACCTCTCAATCATATTCATGCCTGATCACCAAGTGAATGTTCTAGCAGAATCAGGTTCTGATAATACACTTAACTATGCATGCATGTTCTATATATATACTACAAAGGATGGAGGTAAAGATCAATTGGCCGATGCGTACAGCAGCTAGTTTATGGACTATTTTACTTTTACCTTGGTCGATCTGATGGCGCTCCAACGTGGCGATCTCTGATCCGTGTTCACAGGTGCTAATCAACCATTTCCGGAGTAGAAAACGCGATCACATCCGCGTAAAGTGCAGCAAGACAAAGTCAGAGTTGCCTTGGCCAGCCAGCTCTGCATTAATCTACAGTATCTAACGCGCGGTTTGCTCTTCCAATCCATTCCTTTGTTGCCTCTAAACAATCAAATCCACAGGGCCCTGGCTAATACTAATACACAATTATGAGAGGGATTTGAATAGGATAAACGTCAATGTTAGGATGAAGCAGGCGAGACCGGGGTGACCTCACGGAGATCTCCCGGATCACCCAACCGCGAATTAACTATTGCGCGCGAGCGTATAGAGAAGGACGCCGTAGCGCCTAGACTATTGGAGGCCGGGGGACACGTAGGCGCGTGTGTGCGTCGCGTTACTCGCACTCGCAGCAACCCTCTGCCCGTCAAACGGACCGACGTAAGCGGAGCTCCGTTTCGGGCAGGGGATACGCCATGGAATCCTCATCTCGCGCCACGTGAGCCCCCGATCAGGTATTAGGGGAATACTTAAGAGCTTCATGCGGGCGGGTTAATGGTTGTTAATCTGAGGGCGTGTGTTGGCTCGCTTGAAAACTGCTGGGGATTTGTTTTGAGTAGTGCGTGGAAGAGGGCCGGTGTCTCCATGGCGAGAGACATGGAGGCGTATGCAGCTTATGTGCTGATTAATTAGAGTTAAGCTACTACCAAATCTAGTTAGCTGGCTAGGTTATCTCTGTCTACTCCAACGCTTCCTGATTAAGTAGCTAGGTAGGTGGGTAAATTGTAGTATACGCCATGTTGTACGTATGTAGTATCAGTGTATCTGATCGCGGATTAACAAATGGTGTAACATGCATGTCCGGCTTGTCCGTCTTAACTACTAAAACGACGACCGGTCAAGTCTTGCTACAAATCTACTCTACTAGCTAGCTACTGTACCTAGCTAGGTAGGCTGCTTATATATGGTAGTACACGTATGCTTATACATACGCCATGCGTACGTACCACTATCTGCGCTGCGGTCGCCAGTGGAAGCTGCGCGAGAATGTGATCTCACTGGCAGTACTTTTATCACTATTTTTTTTCCTAGTGCTAATAGCGATCCGTGTACGGACACGGGTTAAAGTACTCCGGTCGATCCCCGGAAGCATCCGCAAGCATTGCTCGCTGGCACTTCACAGGTGTGCACGGTGCGCTCACACGGCGAGGCGCTGTCGTCGTTACGTCTGCACGCTAGTCTATTCATCTCTCGGTAGTAATTTTTTCCTCCGGTTTCGTCAGACCAGTCGATTGGCACGTGTAGTACAATTGAGCTCATCACGCATGCTCAATTAATTGAGCACTACTAGTAGTAGTACGTGGTGGTAAAAAAGGGGTTAGATGCAAGCATGTACTCTTAACTGAAACAGTGATTGCATGTAGACCTTTGATTGCATGCATGCATGCCCATGCTCCCCAATTAAGTCTGGGAAGGACGGTCGGCCAACTAGTCCGAAATAGCACTGTTCTATTGGACGTGGGGTTATTTTCATGACATACGTAAATGATGTTTGCATTTGGAAACGGAGAGGCTACTACCTCCGAAAAATATAACTTTGCTGTGTGAATCCGTACCGTTAGTGGAGCGACCTGCATACTAATCGCTTTGCCTAATTTGGACTTGGTTACCCCTTGCTTAAACTAATTAAGATGGGCGCCTTAGTTTGGAGAGCTGGCTAATCAGGGGGTAGCGGTACAGGTTTGTAGTTGGGCAACAGAATTAATTATTAATCGATCTTACATTACTTCTAGTATTAACCGCAAGCAAGCAAGCATTCTATAGGGCATTGACTGTTTTAGTCGTTGCGCGTTTGATGGGAGTGGATGAGATATTTGTGCATTGTTTACTTTGACGTAAGCTACACACTTTGGCTTTCGTTTCGTCTCTTCTCTTAACCTTCTATTTGTAGCTATATGTGCTCATCAGCTAAATTAAACCTGCCCGTTGGTTTCGTCTGCGCTACTAACTTGTTTCGCGTCATCTTAATTTGTACATTAATTATAAATCAGCCAATTAATGCTCAGTGCTGGAAGAAAACGTAAGACTGTCAAAAACTTCATTCAAGCGTGCTCTCCTGGTGTTGTACTCGCATGTACGAGTGGCTTGATGTGTGCCGGCCGTGTCGAGCAATTATTGTGATGTCCAAAAGGTCAATTGACATGGACACTACAAGCTCTGTTGGGAGACACGCGTCCCTACCGAAGAGAGAGCTTAATGGAGTACCAAGTGAGTTTTGTGTGATTCGTGGAACTAAGACATTTGAGATAATAAAAGCATCCTTTATCGAGAGAAAAAGACGATGATAAATGCCAAGTATGTCTCACTTTCACCCAGTTAACCAGGATCTTCTTTTTTGCGGTTGATTTAACCGGCTTCTTATAGTAGTAATCCTTTTGTTAGTATTAGGAATTCAGGACATATGCATATATAGTGTGTGTACTACACTACTCCAGAGTAACTAGTAAGCCTTCACTTGCGACATCAATAGTTCAGGCTTGGTTCACTCGTGGATTGCATCCGTACAACAAGGTAGTAAAAATATGATATTCTCTCCGTGGTTGCATTTTCCTGGCTTGATGTCACTTTCATTTTTGCTTTACACACACTCTGCTTTGCTTGGGCA